GACTGCATCTCTTTCTTTTCTGTTGTATTTCCATTTTTACTCCCTTAGCAATACTTACTTTTCTTGACTCAACTCTTCACTTGTTGACTAGTTGGTCTCCAACAAGATCCTCCCCTTGAAGTACAATGGCCTTCTATCTCTTAGTCTCTGAAATAGTTCTAAAGGTTAAGAGTCAAAGTCTCCACATGAGAAGAGGATCTCCTTTCTGCTTCCAGCCTAACATCCTGGCATCTAGAGTATCTGACTTACACTTCTTTTCATTATCCAAATCTAATGTGATGCTTATTCTTTATAATATTCACCTTGGTTTATTGCTAGGCTGATTTTCAATACATGTTGAAGGTGTCCAACACTTCTCACCACTGGTTCATTGTCCCATCAGACCTATACAAGGTCCCATTCAGCATTGCAGTGTCAGTCAAAGGTATTTCTGCTGTAAAATTCAGACCTTATTTATTCCTGCATAGCACAAGAAGCCATGGATATCTATTTTCAGTGAAGATATAATTAAAATATTCATAATTACTGTTAGAAAAAACATCTAGAAAACATTAGTGTTTTATCACATCATGTTTGTTTATAGGTAACATTCTGAGGAGTCTTCTCGGGTCAGCAAAGATTAAAATCAAAACAGTTCAGCCGTGGAAAAATGCCTCAGTTTTTCAGCTGAGCATCTGTTATCTTTGAAATTCAACAAAGTATGAAAACTTATTTTCATTAATGCTTTAAACCTAATCATGGGTTTGAATATAAATAATTTTTATGCATTGAGGTCAGTACAAACCTGATAAAATTCTCACTGAACAAAAGAACATCTGATTAGGTCATATTGAATTTGCTTCTTAGATGGACAAGAGGCATTGCAAAGTCTTCACTCAGCAAGAAATATTTTTGTTCTGTAGATTTTCTAATGGGAAAGGTTTTGCTTTATCAACAAACCTCTCTGGATATGCTACAACTGCTGTTTGAGTGGACATACTTGTTCTGGAATGAGCTACTATTTTATTTATTCTAAAAGAAAATAGTTGGTGGGTTTTTTTCAGTATATAACAACTAACATGAACAGCAATAGGTGCCTACTGTAACATTGGTATTCCAAATGGAGAAGTATTAATTTTTTTCTTAATGGAAGTATTTTATAACACTTGGAGTAGAGCAAGGAAAGTCCTGACTATCTACAATCACGTGGTACCTTTTGCAGAAATACATCCGTTAGCCCCAGAAACATGGCCATATGATTTGCATAACTTTCTGCCTATTCAAATGCATATTTCCATTACAATTGTAAAAGAGAGTCTTAGTATTTTTCTTTGCTGTTAAACAGCTGCTGCATTTCAGCGTTGGTGAAATAGTTCTACATATAATTTTCCTTTTTTTTTTTAGTGAAAGTGCTTTGGGATCTCTCTAGCTGAAAGATGGCCTAGAAATGCAAATTATCCTCAGCCACATAATTCAGAATTACCTTTGCATTTTATTCTTAATCTGTATCTGTATATATAACAATCCTGAAAAACAGTGACATTAGACCTGTTCATACAACAGACGTGCTTTTGGTGGAAATAAATAGATAGAACTGCCAACAGTATTACATGAATGTTGTAATCCAAAGAATGCTAATGCTGAAAAGTATCTCCTTTAATAAAATGTTTAACAGAACAATATAATTTCATTTATATGTTTAGAAAAAATACCCAAAAAATTAATATCCGAAAGCCTTTCTTTCCCCCCCAGTTTTATTACCACAGACATTTGGGTTTGCATCAATACTTGCTCTTTGAATCTTTTTATATAAAAAATTTCGACTAAGTAATGTCTGTAACAAAACATATCCCAGCAGAACTTTGCAAAATATAAGCCTGTTTAAGTTACTCAGTAAAGATAACATTTCTTCAAAACTGCAGAAAAAGAAACTCTATCTGCATGCAAATTAAATTTAGAACACTCCTTTGCATAGAGTGAAAGTCTGGCAGGCCAGGAAAAATCCATAAATGTGATTGCAGTGACAAAGTAAAACAAGAAAGAGGTCTCTGATGTCCAGGAAACGTGTGTGCCCACTGCAGGAGAAATCTCTTCAGGGAACTGTCTGTGGCTTGCTCCCCAACCCCATTACATGGCTGGCTCTATTTTGAAGCTTTCCAAAAGCTTTCAGATAGGATTTGAACAAAACCAAAACTCTGAATAAAATAGGAAGAATAAAGTGCTTACCAAAATGTTATGTCGTTATTTAGCCATGGCCTACAACAGTGTCTCTAATGGTTACTGATTCCTCACCTTGCTGCTGCTACACCAATGTCAGTAGCAATTTTGATAAATGCTCTCCCATTTATACGCTGCTTAGCACTATGGCAAAGTCATTGGTAAGACTTGTTACCTGCAGGGACTGCTACCAGAACTCGAATATGGGTTAGTACAAATGGTTTGCCTAGGTCACCATCTTTCCTGGGGCAGTGATCAAGTCATGACTCCCAGTGGAGACTGGACTACTCCACGGGAGGTGAATATTGCAGTGGAAGACTATTTGGATAAATATTTAAAAGTAATGCTCTTAACTATAGTGCAGATAAGGGCCATGGCAGTTTCTCCTTGTGTCTCTCATTGGAAAGCCAGCAAGTTGCAGGCACTCTGAGGCGAGACTGCAGGGTATATGTGCCAGCAAACCGAATCCCTTTAGGGCTTGCCCATCTGAAAATGGAGAGAGGATGTAGATGGGTGAAACATGCAAGTACAAATCCAAATGTAAATGCTAGTTTAAATACCCACAGTCCAAGGTTTTTGTTTCAGGGCTAAAGATAGCTCTGCTGGTAACATGAGACAAAAAAATGTGGAATTGTTTTACTCCAAGAGAGGTTGGCTACTAAGGAACCAGCTTTATTTCCTCCCACCACCAGTTCCTTCTAGAAGATCCTTTACTGTGAGTGTTACCTCATATATCTTAACATGAGATTTAACAGGACTTCAGCATCAATATGGCAGTTCTGTAAATACAGGACTGCCTCTGGGGTATGGCCATTGGCGTGCATCATGTGTGCTGCTAATGCAAGTCAAGCAAGCCTAGGTTTATGCATTTTAAAATACCAGACTTTTGTTTTCATGACAGAAGTTGAAAGATACTGAGGGCTGAAGTCTCGCTGCTTCAGAGTAGAATAGATTTTTAGCACAGCAAAAGACTTACTCGGTTTTCTGCTAGACCAGTCCCAAGTGATGCAAGACCTGCCTTCCACCCCAATCTCCTTTGCACCAAAATTGCTGTAGCTCCCTCAAGAGACAACAGTATTTCTGCTGAATTTCCAACCATTAAGACCATCTGTGCTTCTTGTGGCATGCAAACCAGCTTTATGGGACTGGGATATCCTGACAGTGTTCAAAGCAGTGAAAGAACCCCAAGGTATGCTAAACCATTCAATATCTGAAAACAAATTAAAATTCTGCTCCTAATTCAACGAAATAATTAGGAAAAAAATCCCCAAACATAATCTGTAAGAAGTGTCTGCTCTTGATTGTTAACATTAGCAGGCAAAGATTAGGACCTTTCCACTCTATTTCTATAAAAGCTCTTTTATGCAGCCATGAAGCACAGAAGGGATGCAGGTACATCTCTGCCAAAGATCATGCAGTTTAGTGACTGTCTTGGCGGATGAGACACTTCAAGACCTGATTCAGGGCATTGAAAGAACATGGAAAAGGATGCAGAAACAGCAGGCAGTTACCTAATACTATCAAGTCTCAATAAAAAATGACAAGCTGAGACATTTTGGCAGGCTTTCTGAATACCTAATAAGACAATGCTTGTGTAAACGGGCCTGGAGGTAAGGTTAAGGAAAAGAATGTCCACAGCAGGAAAAAAAAACCCAAAACACTTTAGAAGCAGCAAATTATTTCAATTCAAAGTCCCTTAGATCACATCTGACCGTAGGATGACAGAATTACTCTCACTGATTGTTTCTGTGAGACATGATCCACGGCCAGTATTTTATACGTAGCAATTCAGCAAAAATGCTCCCACCCGCGCCAGGATACATGGACATTTGACTTTTTGGCAAGGCGACCGTGAGAGTATTTGTACCTATGAATTTCCTATGACAGATAAATAAACCCGTACTCCTTCCTCACAGCTACAGAAACGAAAGGGAGTGTTACCCCGGGACAGTCTGGAGGGACTGATTTTTCCACGGGACCAAGTTCTCACATCGGTTGCCTTCAACCACCAGACCGCGTTGATCGCAAAGGCAAACGCGGGGGCATTCCCACACACCGGACAGACGTGTCTGTGCACAAGGGACGTAGGCGGCGGCGGGAGAAGCGGTGCGGTGTCCTCCTCCTCCTCCTTACGGCGGGACCCGCCACTTTGGCCACCTCCAGCACAGCCGAGACACGTCCTTCTGCTTGCACCCAGTTCCCCATCCCCGCCCCCCCCCCTTGTATTGTTTTTATATTTCGCAAATAGTTCCCCCCATCCCCTCTCCCGCCTGTCCAAAGGGGCGGGAGCGGTAGACTGGGCGCGGGAGGGACGCGGGGCGGAGGCGGGCAGCGCAGAACGCTAGGCGCGAAGAACGGGTGGCCCGGCAAACCCAGCCAGGGGAGAGAGACTCCGCGCCCCCGCTGCCTCGGTCCCCTCCCCGGTCCGGGGGCGGTGGCGAGGGCTGTCACACAGACACCTCCCCACCGACCGGCGCCGGGGCAGTCGCTGGAGGAGCAGCGGTGCTCGGCGGTTCTCCTCGCCACGCTGCGGAGCGCTGACCGCGAACGCACCGACCACCCCCGCAGGTGGCCGAACACCGCCCGCCTCAGCAGCTCCCCCTGCCCCCCGCGCCGGTCCCCCATCCCGGTGGGCGGTGGCAGGAGGGGCCGCGTCCCGCCCCGCCCCGCCGCGCCGTGGCGGTGCCGGAGCCGGGGCCGGGCGGCGCTGCAGAGGGCGGAGCGGGCGGCTGGGGCGGTCCGGCCGGCGCCCGGCGCGGGCTGGCTCCCGGCGGGCGGCGCTGCTGCGTTGCTCTGGGAGGCGCCGCGGGGCCGGGCGCGGAGCTGCGGGATCGGGGGTGTGAGCGGCCGGGCAGGGCGCCCCCAGGATGCTGCGGTTCCTGCGCAGGACCTTTGGCCGGCGCTCGATGCAGCGCTACGGGCGAGGAGCCGGGCGCGGAGCCGGGCGAGGTGGGCTCGGCGGCGAGGGGGACGAGCGGGACGGGGGGCTGCGAGGAGCCGCCGCCGCCGCCGTCGTCGGCTCGGGAGGCTTCCCCTCCTCGCCGCACCCCGGAGGGGTCGTGCACAGCGCCGGAGCCCCCGTCCACATCCCGGCGGCCGGCGGCAGCAAGCCGGTGCTGCAGTGCCGCGTCCTTCTCCTGGACGGGACCGAAGTCAACGTGGAGCTGCCGGTGAGTAGCGTGCGCTCGCCTCCCCCGCCTGCAAAACAGCGCCTGCAGCTACCCTCTACCCTCCTCCGCATCGTCCCCCTCTCCCTGGCGACGGGCACCTGCGAGTGCCCCCCCACGGCCGCACAACAGGCGCGGTTCCCCGGGAAAGCCTCGCTACTTTCGTCCTCCTCGCCGCCGTCCCCGCCTGCGTGCACCTGCTGCCAGGTGCGCGGCGCCTCCCCGCCATGACCGCCGCCCGCCCCCGTCCTGCCGGCTGCAGCCGTCTGCCTCCTTCTCCCCTCTACCCAGAGCGAGAGGGGAGGTGAGCACCTGCTCTCCTCCTCCCCTCCGAAAACCAGCCCCCTGCAGCGGTGCCTTCAGCGGAGCCTCTCCCGGGAGGGGTCGTCCCTGCGGTGCGGGGCGCTACCTGTGCGTGTCCCCGGCTAGTGCGGGGGGGCTGCCCGAAGACCCCGCCTGGCGGTACTGTCGGTCATGGGGGCACCACGGACCGCTGGGTGGGGGAGCGGTGCCTTCGGCCTTTCTGCCCTCCGGCTTGCAGCCCCCCAGCCGCGCAGCACCTGTGGCACCGCGGGGAGAACGAGGCGAGGCCGTGCTGCCCCCGCCGTGGCGAGGGTCTGCGGGGTGGGCGCCGCCTCCTCCTTACTTCTTGTTTTCCGACACCCTCGTTGAAGGGCCGGCGCTGCCCCCCGCTGGGGGGATGCCCCAGGCGCTGCCCCCGTCCTGTGGCACCCGAGTGCGGGACCGGGGGCCGGAATAACCCCCGGCAGCTCCGGGGCACGCCCGGGCGGGCAGGCCGGGCCCGGCCCCGCGGGTGCGGGGACGGTGCCGGCGCTGAACTTTTTCCTCTCCTGCCGCTGTGTAGGAGGAATGAGGAAGGGACATTGCCGGCCTGCGGGGCTGTGCGCGTGTCGTTTGCGCCTACTCGATGAGGTTGGGCCGCGTTTGTAGGTGTTTCAGCATCCCCAGAACCCCGTTGCGTGTCCCGTAAAGGCAGCTGCAGGGTGCGTGTCGGTTATTTACAGAGTTTGGGTTTTTTTCATTCTTCACAGCTGCTAAATATGCAACACCCATCCTTTTTTGCTGACCTGTTCCTTCCCTCTTGAAGCACAAGTTTTCCCATGAAATAGTATGGAAGTTGATCATGTTTGAAAAAATTTAATCTTTTTTCCTTATCAACCCAAATTGTCACCAACCATTAACTTGGTCTACAAAAACAGGTGGGAGAATTCAATGACTGTAACAACCTGAGAAATTGTGCACTACCTTAACGTCCAGCAGTGTAAAAGAGTTTTTTTCTGAGTACACTTAGACTCTTGTTAGGTGCCTTTCATTATAACAATCATCTGTATATATTGGCATCATTTCCCTAAAACATGGAATTTGGCAACCTTGTTGTTTCTGCTTAAAAGAAACCGAAGGGATTGAGTAAGACTCTTACATGTGAATACAGAAGTATGTGAACGGAGCCACCTAGAGATACTTGCTGCAGCATTATCAGGCCTCCCTTGCCTTACAGGCTACATTGCACATTTCCAGATATTTGAAATGCTAATATGTTTCCTCTCCTCGCATCTCCTTCAAAACTTGCTGCTCTCCTCCTGACATCTCTGCACAAATCTTTTCTAAAGTAGAGTCAATGATTGTTATCAGCATGCTAAGGGTTTACTTATAGAGGTCTGTGTCGATAAGCTCAGTAAATATTTTGCTTAAAGTTATACTCTAATTTATCAGAGGTCAGCTTTTGCTGTAGAGCCTGTTTAAGACAGTCTGAGGTTTTTGTAGTATCAGAAAACGAGGTAAGGGCACTCTTAGTCCTTGAGCGATGAAAATATATGGAAGTATCTGCTGACCCAGTAGAGAAACTGTGGAGCATTCTTGCTTGAATTGGCTTCCAAATGAAGCCTAGATTTGCCAGTGTTTTCAGAATGTGAGCTGCACATGTGGTGGTTGTAGTTCATTTGTCCAAAGACAGAGTAAGATGTTGGCATTTTTTTTCCTGACAATTCCTAGACTGGTGGAGAACTTTGGAGCTTGTAATAGCTATCAGTGTTTTGAGGATTAAAAACTGTTCTGTTGAATTACATATCTGTTCCTCATGTTTTTTCCCTTTCTTTCACAGAAAGTAACACCCACACTGAGAGTTAGAAAAACTGAAAGAGGCGTTGCACCATTTATAGAAGTTGATCAGTAAAGTTTCTCTGAGCTTTGCAGCTCTAGATGTTATGGGATTAGGGCCTGAAGCAGAACGTGGTTTAATACTCAGAAACTGTAGTACAGGACTGGTTAAGCTGAATGAATTGAGTAGCATCTTTTCCATTAAAAAAAAATAGTGTATGGTGGTTTCTCTCATTTCAGCTCAAATTTTATGAAAAGGAGTGTGGGCTTCATGACCAATGAGCAGCTTACTCATGAAGTCAAGTATGGAGATGATTGCGGAGGATTTCACTGTTCTGCTGATTGTGTTTGCAAGCACTCATATCAGGAGATACTGGCATCTGTAAAATGTGCTCTTTCTACTATCTGCTGACATTATATCCCTGTTGTCTTTCTAGTGAGAAAAATAACTTGCTGATAGAACACAATACTCTAGCAACTACAACTTTTTAGGCTATCTTAAGAGTTCATTTTGAAGTAATTGAAAGGTTTATTGGATTTCAAAGACTACAGGGTCTATTTGCTTGTGTGGAGGAATGAGGGAAAAGACATGACTGAAGGAAAGCTAACTGTATGTGTAGAAAAAAGGTTGAGGTTTTTTTTTTTGTTCAGTTATTGTTTTGTATTTTTTTTAGTATTCAGATAAAGCTAAACCCCTGACACTTTTGTCTAGGTTAATTGCATCAGGTTCTGCCACGATGTTTTCTTGTAAATGGGGGGTGATGGTGATGTGGGAAAAATTAATCCTACATCAGTATAATCTAATGATTGATAAGTCTCTTTGTGGTTAACATTGTAATTTATGCTATAGTGTCAGAAAGTACTCATCTGGTAAGCTTTTGTCAGTTCATGGTGGTAACAGAAGTAGAGATCAACCATGATCTTGAAGTCCTTCCTTAACTTGTTCTTCTCTAGGCTCTGTAGCAATATTTGGACTAGAGTCACCTTTCTTTATCTGCATTTCCACGCCCTCTTTCTTCTGGGGCATTTGCACTTCATTCTTTTTACTGCATATGCGCTGCCCTCGGACTACCCCATCTGCTAGCCTGCCCTTCTACGTGCTGTGTCATTTGTAGGTGTTCTCTAGTCTTTCACAAACTTGTTTCCTACCCAGCTGCCCCCACACAAATGTCAACATAAAATTGTTCTGAACACTGCAGATACCCCTGGATAATGGTTTCTATACTCAGCTTCTTGCATGAAATTTCAAGGATTGCTTAATGATGCTGGCTTTTTTTCTTCACTCCTAAGGCAAGAATCACATACTTTGAAAGTATTCTTTCTAAACAGAATAATGCACTGGATGGCTTTTTATCTATGAGCTCCTCAGGGCCCTGTATTGAATTTGAAATGCTATTAAGGTTGAATCTGTTGTATAGAAGTGAGTGGCAGTTGACCAGTTTTGTTGCTGTGGGGTGATTTCCCATGGGAAGGGGAACATAAATGGTGTCATTACTTCTTCTTGACCTGACACCACGTCTGCGCGTCTGAAATCTAGTGATGAGAACTGATTCACTTACCTTAGAGACTATCCCTCCTCCCTCACACATAGTTATCAGTGTATGTCTTTTTACCACTGGGAACCTGTTTAGTACCTTTTGTGTTGTGCCTTCACTTAAGTTGGAGGCTGTTACCTGTTTAGAGTTTGTACCTGGGCTGTAGGCAGATGTAAGGCCATTTTGCTCACTGTTATCAAAACAGTCTTGATTCTGCTTTTCTGAAGCACTCGTGACTTTAATAAAAGAAAAACTGGTTATGGATGATGCTGTGTTCTTACAGAAAGAATGCAAGGAAAGAGCGTTGACATTTGGGCAAGGGTGATGATGCCTGCTAGTTAATGCATAAATGGAGCACTCTATAGATAACTTGTAGATGAAGCTGAAAAGCCAAATTTTTCTTAACTCTGAGATGTGATTGCTTGCATTTCTAAAAACTAAATATCTGATTTTTAATTAGGTGTATCTTATGAAAGCTTAAAGGGTGAATATGAAAGATGGCTCTTCTGTGGCACTGTCCAGAGTAGCAGGAATTAATGTCCCTTTTCTTAAGGCTGCTGAAAATGGTATTCTGTGATTAAGTTGTGGGAGGGCAGGAGGGGAATGAACATATGTAGGGTTTCCTTGGGTTTCTGTAGTCTAAAATGGGATAAAAGAAGAAACAAACAGTAAGCTTACTCCAGTATGAAAATCCTTGTCCTGCAAAGCAGATCTAGGATACCTTACCTTTTCTGTGGTGTGAATCCACAGCAGTCAACATGTTGCCTGTCATAAATACTCCTTTCTAAAAATCTCCTTGCTCTTATAAATTCCTGTGCTGCTGTGAACATCACTGTAAAGACCTGTGTGATTTATTAGAAAGTATGTAATGTTTAATGATTAGCGTAATGAATAAGTCAAATATAACTCTTCAAATTTGTGAATTATTTTCAGATGCATAGCTTTCATATTATTTCTTTGCCTTCCTTTTGGTGTATCTGTTTTAATAATTGTTTCAGCTGCTATGGAAACACTTCAGGATAGGAATAGTAAATGTTCTTCAATACCGTTTTTTAATCTCTGGTCTGCTATGTGATGTATTCTTTTCTAGTTGGAGTAACATGAACATAGCAGAATTTGCTGTCTGGCCTCTATGCTTACATCAAATGTAAATGTCAAATTAACTCTTGAGCAGTCATCTCTATCTTATAATTATTGGTTAGTGTATTTGACTCAATGAATTTATAAATATTGTGAGAGAAGTGCAACTCATTTTTTCTTTCTTTCACGTCACATGTGATTTCCAACTGACATTTTGTGATTATTAACTCTAGAGTAATGCACTATTATGTGTGTAGACACTTAAATTGA